CCCCCCCGCGCGCTCTCTCGCTCTGGTGAAAGGCTGGGGGCGGGAAGAGAGAAGATGAAAGCGAAGCCGCCGCCTTGATTGACAGCTCATTGATAGATGCTCTTGAGAGAAAAAGGAAATGTAGCCCTACAGAGAGAGGAGGAGGAAAAACAACTTAAACCGGGAAAGCATGAGGATGGGCTAGAAAGCTCGCTCCGTGTTAAACGCACCTACAGCACAAAAAGAAGGTGCAAAGCCAGGCCAACAAAGTTCATAAGAAAAACGAAAACAAAAAACCACGGACGTCTCAGTCCGCTGGAAAGTTTCACCTAAGACAAGGTGGACGGCGAAGATGCTGAAGGGGAGGTGCAGCAGAAAGTAGTCAGCTGAATCCAAACGGGGGGGTTGGGTTTTGTTACCCCTGCTCAGGAGAAGCTCGTTTGCCTTTGTTTTTCCCTTAATCACAATGTTTGCCCCCGTCCCGTTCTTCTGGCGTCTCTGAGTGTTGTTTTTGTTATTACCTGAGATTGTCTGAAGATGAAACAAGGGTGAGGGTGGGCTGCGAGCTGCTGTGGGGAGGGGTGGAGGCTTCTAATTCCATCTCCCTCTCCCCAAAGAAAGGTCTTCGGAGACAGTAAATAATAGTGATCCGAACATCTTGAGACCAGTCTTGTTTTGCTTCGTGAAGACTTTCCCCCTTTTGGGGAGAGGAAGAGGTGGTATATCCATATACAACTGTTGGGGGCTGATGATGGGGGTATCATAGGGCTACTGCTGTCCTTATGTTTACATGGACAAAAGGCATAACACGTGAACAGAGTAATATAGACTTCTGATTCCCGAGTTAATACTAGAATCATATTTGAAATTTAACATTTAAATCTGCAATCTTAGGACGAACTGGTTGAAAAGCAAGTCCTATTGAACTGAACGGACTGTGCTGAATCTGTGTGCGTGTGTAAAATGAAATAGCATCTTCACATATTCTCTTTTCTTATATTCATATTTAGCCACTGATGTGATGATTGGAACAGAGCCTTTTATTGCCTGTATTTAGAAATTCATCCTTGCAAGCATTCCATGCACGTATAGGGAAAGGAAAAATCAGGATAGTAGTCTGAGTTAGGAAACGTTTACTTGGAAGTAAATGCGACTGGGCTGGATGGGATTTCTTAATAGATGCTGCAGCGCTCTCGGGTGCAAATTTTGTTGCTTGGTTCTTGTTTAAATCAAATGTACAGATATGCCATAACTGGGAAACGGAGGAATGGAAGCACATCAAGCAAAATGCAAGTCGATCCTTAATCCGTTTTCTGTACAGAACTCTTTTATTTTTTGCAGGACCCAAAGGGAATGGCAGACTGCTTCTTGAGATGATATTTTTTAGAAGAAAAACGTTGAGGTGAATAAAAGCAAATATGAAATACTTGCCAGACGCTGCTTCCATCTGGGGATTGTAATAAAAATAAAAATCCAGTTATCTAAGACTCATAAAGGAGAAGGACAAAAGGCACTGGGAGGGCGGAGGGACACGAAACACCACAGATGCCACACAGAAGCCACTGCATTACTTCCCATACATGTTATTGATCAGAAAAACACATGGGGGGGGGGCTTTTATCTAAAAGTCCAAGCCGCTGTCCATGTGACCCTTGGCAATCCATCTCCGTGGGATATACTTCCGCGCCAAGCGAATAAGAGAGGGTCTTGGGAAACAGCTTCCACTGTAATGAATGGGGTGGGAACTTGGTCCCACGCAAACTCGCGTTTGATTCGAGCAGATCGCAGCTGACCAAAAGCTGCCTTACGGTCCCTCTCTTGCTTTAGGCGGCTGCTTAGAAGCTGAAGAAGTTTCAGGGGCGCTTTGCTAAATGTTGACCTTGTTCCACCTAATTCGGATCCTATTTTCCCCTTCATGTTAATTGTTGAAGCTGCCGCTCTCATTTGCAGAATCCCTCCCTTTGCCCTCGAGATTGTTGTACTTTAAACTACATAATGGGAACCGCTTAAGAGGAGGGAGGAGGGAAAGAGAGAAAAATCAGTGCGTAAAGAGAGACTCTGTTTGATGTTACTCGCGCAAAAAGATCTTCCTCTTTGGAAAAACCAACCCGCCCTCTTCAGAGAAGCCACGGATTTCCTTTAACAGTCATTTGCGATTTGAGTGTTTTGCTGTTTAGATCTTGTCACTCGCCTATGTTTCAGAAAGGCAGGGAGCACCATTTGTGTTTATGGTGGAGAAGGCGTATTGAGAAGATCCCTGAAGAATTTTTTCCTCTAATATGTTTTAAGAACACGTTTAGTTATTTTCTAGTAACTAGCAGCAAATACAATACTCTAGGAAAAGCGTTCTTTTTCAGAGAACGAGAGTTCTTATTGGCTGTCATAACGATTAGCATTCCAGGCTCCAATTAGCATGTGTCTAATCGATTGGAATTGCCATTTAAAAAAATCGAGGAAAGGAAGCGAAATCCTTTCAAGTTCCAGCGAGATTTGTGTCGATTTGGGCGATGTTTACTCTTCCTGGATCCCGAGGGAGGCGGATGGGAGAGAAGAGAAGCTTTCTCCGGGGAAGACTATTCACACGGAGGTTTAGTATTAATCTGATCCGTCTAATAAAACAATTAGGAAAGGATTTATGCCCGTTTCCTAACCTTCCCGCTCCCCACGTCTATAAGCCTATATACCCATCGGCTGATAACCCCGCTTTCTTCCCCAGATCCACACCCTTATACCGAATATATGAAGTGAAAAACGTGACTGGAAAGGAAGTCTAGGCGTAGCGTGCGCGGTCCCGCGTGTTGCTGAATGCACTTGGAGTCGCCCGTAGCCAGAGGAGCTAAAATCGCAACAAGCAGCAGTGCCCCGCCAAGAGGGTCTCCAGCAAAATAACCGTGTGTCCAATTAAGGGGAAGGGAGTAGTGTCCTCCTCGTTTTATGAGACAGAGAGAGAGAAGAAAGAAAGACCCCTTTCATGTGGGCTGGAGGTTTTCCCGATCCCCTTTTTTGTGGGAATCTTTTAAAGGGAGAAGCAGAGGAGTAGCGGGGGCGGAGCGAGAAGACTTTAGGACAAGCGGATAAACTCAGGAAAACCTCAACCATTCCAGCGCCAGGCTGGAGGCAGCCCAAGGCTGCTGCGAGAAGTCGAGAGCAAAAACATGCAAAGGATTGTCTGAGTTCGGGCAACAGGCTGGGCTGAAATCTGGTTGGCTTGTCTGTGATTCAGAGTGTTGGGTCAGTTCAGCTCTTTGGGATAATTCAGCAAGCGGGGGCTGAGCAAACCGTAACTTCGAATGCTTTGCAAACACGGCAGCTCTTTGAAAGCCTCGATTCTGCATAGTGGCTGGCTTGGCTCCCTTGAGTATCATGCTTAAATTAACCATGGGTTGCAGAACTAATGCAATGTTCCGGGTTCATCCAACACATTAAACCCTAAACTAACCATACAGAAATGTGATTAGCTAGTTTGGGATTCAGCATGAACAGCTATCAGGTTGACACATCAAACTAAGCCATGATTTGCTTGTTATAGTTCACTGACTCAGTAACAATTCGGTGGTTTCACTCCATGGTTAAGTCATAAACCATGGTTTGCAAACAAAAGCAAGCACATCACATTATGAGCTTCCCAGTGCACTGTGTGAATCAACCAGAATATACAAGCTAGAACAAGTGGGAACATTTAAGAATAATAAGGCATTCTTCCTTGGAATACTATAAATCTCATTCAATTCTCATGTAAATAGGAACTATCTCCAATTAAGCCCTTAAAGTTGCTGAATATAAGGCACCTATATCTATTGACTTAAGAGGAAATTCCATTTAATCCAGTGAAATTTACTTCTGAGTAAATCCCCCAAAGCACCTTTCCTTGATTGGAAGTCCTCTTGAGGTCAATAGGATTTTCTCTCCAAAATGAATATGAAAAGGATGCCATTTACTTCAGAAGAGCCCTTATTGAACTGAATTGCATCTGGACAAACAAGTATAGGTTCGGACTAACCTGGTTTATAATACAATCCTATGCTGCTTCCTGTCTTTAGAATCACAAGTTTACAATGAAATCCTGTGCATGCCTATTTGAAAGTGAATCCCACTGTCTGAGAGCACACAGAGGGAGAGGTTAAAATGCGATCGACCAGATTTGGTTTGGTGGGATCCTGCCATCAATTAAACCGTCTTAGTATTAAGTTTGATATCCAAGAAATCGTAGGTAAATCCGGATTTCCAGGGATACCAAATCAGGAATATTCATTGAAATGCAAGCAGTTTCGATCATGCACTTTTCCTCGACTTGGCGCCCTGGATGTGGGGTTGAGTGATGGGAGTAAAGTACTTATCTAGAGGGCGCCAGGTTGGAGAAAGCCAAAAAGGCATTCCGCTGTCATTCCACTAGCTTTACTCCCCAAGAAACGTGCGCTGCCGGTGACGTAGACACTCCTGCCCACTCCCCTCGCCTCCGGTAATTATTAATGATTTTCTAGGTTACAGAAGGATAAAGAGAAGACTAAACTAAAGATAGAGCTGGAAAGCAAGGATCGGAATTCTCTCAGGGAGTGAGAACTTTATTTTGGAAAGGGGCGCGAAAGGAAAGAGGATGCCTTTTGAGAGGTAAACAGTCCAAATCAGCTGTGTGAATCTTAAATGCCCATTGGCCAGCAACCTCATTTTTGACCGACCGAACTGAGGATCAGTGACACAGAGTCCCATATTTACTCAGAAGCAAGCCTAGTGCCTCTCCTGCGTCTTACTCCCACGTGAGCGCAAGAGTGTAATATTAGTAGAGCGCCAACCCAAGGATAAGGTGCAGGATTCACACGAAAAAGAA